TATGACATATAAATAATGTAAAGTAGAGAGCACACATGTCATATATCACAATCACATAGATATCACTATCACATAGATATAATAGTATGCATGAAAGTAACACACGAATGCATAATAGTAATAGTGTATCACACAAATAAAACTCCAAATGTATATAATAAGCTAATACTAGATAACAAGCTCCCCCTAAATGTCGCTCCCCCTGAGTCTAGTCAAAAGGGTTAGGCAAGCTTATATGACCCAAGCCAATACAATGTACTCAAAAGATATGAGTTAAGCATGAGTACAAGTAACAAAGCTCATTTGCATCGGAGTATAAACGTGGAAGCAAAGGAAAATGAGCATAACACAAGTGATATGACATATAAATAATGTAAAGTAGAGAGCACACATATCATATATCACAATCACGTAGATATCACTATCACATAGATATATTAGTATGCATGAAAGTAACACACGAATGCATAATAGTAATAGTGTATCACACAAATAAAACTCCAAATGTATATAATAAGCTAATACTAGATAACAAGCTCCCCCTAAACGTCGCTCCCTCTGAGTCTACATACTCGAACCCTCTCCCCCTTTGGCGTCAAACACCAAAAACTAAGGGTCGGTCGGCAGGGCTGCAGCGGACGAGTCGGGCACTGAAGTACGTGTAGCAATGTGAAAGCGGGCGCCACCATCATCTGACCCCGAGCTCTCAACCGACCCTCACTGCCATTTGGAAGTGTCATTGGCTTGCGATCGGGTCGGAGCTGGGGCAGGAGCGGCCTGTGACTCTGCTGGTATATCTGTAGGATCAGATGATGCGACTGAGCTAGGAAGCCTCTGAGTGGTCATGGCAACAGGAGCTGTAGTGGAAGGACCTAGAGCATATATGTGAGGCGGTGTAGGCATGCCTATCAACTCGCTGAAAGAAGCTCCAAGACTCCTGGAGACTGACGTGTCAGGCACAAAAAGCGAGGCTGACTGGTCTGGTGTGAAGCCCGTCTGAAGTGGAGTGAATCAGGGCTACCACGGGTGAAGCTAACCATTGGGACACCCAGGCTGGAGGTGAAGCAAATCGAGCCGAGGTTGTCCTCGACTCAGAGCCCATCGGGCTGTGCAATACCGAGTCATCGGGTGGTAGTAGGCTGACCAAGCTGGGGCGAAGGCTGTGTCTGTGGAGCCCCAAGTGCTTTGTCTACTACATGCCGCATGAAACCCATAAGCCGCCGCCGTAAGCAGTATCCGCTACTTCTTTGCTTTGCATGACTCTTCTTGCCTCTAGAACTCGGCCCCGACGAGCTCGAAATCGGGCAAAGGTGGCACTGTCTCCTATATGCTCGCTCTATCCTGTGTCTCATCGATCCGCCAAGAATAGCAATGAGAGCGGGTCTGCATCTGTAAGGCGGTGGAGCTGAGCTAGAACTACCGGCCTCTGATCATGTCTGCGTGGACGATCTAAGGAATCGGTGATAGTCATCATCCGAATCGCCACTTGACTCGGTCATCTCATGTCAGTGCCTCTAGTCGCTTCCTCCTTAGTAGCGGCTATGCCTCTAATAATCTCGTCCCGCCGAAATCAGCTGACTCTGGAACATCTCGGACGATGATCGGGCCGAGTAGGTGCTCGTGGCGTCAGTGCTCGATCCTCTGTGCCATGTTATAAGCTGGAAACTCAAGAGTGGCACCCTTGTACTCGGCAACCATCTCTGGGGTCCCGACCGCATGCACTTGAGCATCAAGAATGTGATCCAATGTGCATAAGGAAGTCAGCTCACGACCCTTGAAACCCTCAAATTATAGTATCATCCATCTCGATAGAAGGAGGTCCCAAATGTCGAACACGGTCTCACGCATCGTGGCATTAAGGAGCCAGAGTCAGGGCGAGTCGAGACCTCTCAGATCCCAACCGGGGAAGCAATATCCTCCTGATGATAGCCTCTAGTACTCGAGCTGTAGGAGTTAGGTCACTGGGGTTCCTCCTCGACCCCTCACCAAAGGGCTCCTTGAAGCAATGGCGCATAAGATCAGTAGGAGGCACCAACCCTCCATGAGGACGCATGGGAGGCTCCTACTGTCCATAACACACCTCATGCAATATGAAAGGCTGATCCTGTAGCCTTAGTATCTCCCGGGCCCTGAAACTCATCACCCTATAATCTCTGCCGTTGAATGCAAAGTGAATGAAATTATGATGTGGGTCAACATAGAGCGATGCGTAGAACTGTCGAACCCAAGATGGTACATATACTCCTGTCCGACCAATCAGATCCGTGAGCCCCGGCAAATATGACAAGTAGGGGCGGATATGCTCTCCGGCTGCTACCACAATAGACTCTATACTGTAGACTCTCTGAGATCTGAACACTGCCCCACTATTGAGATAAGCATTGTAGAAATCCTCCTACAGTGGCGTGTAGAACCCCTCTGCTGCTCTCTCATCCCTCCTTGGAGGGAACCACACGTCAAACTCAACAAACCTCAGCTGGCGAACCTGTCTGGTTGTGGCGGCCCTCAAGTCAAGATGTACCACTGGAGGCGGACCCTGTGGTCTAGGCGGTGGGCATGAACCCCTGCGCTGTGTAGCTGGCCTCGGTGGAACTGTAGCACTGGTACGACCAGAGCGGCGTAACTGGGGTGTCGGCTCGGTCTCCTCGGCCTACTGGCCCTCCTGAGTCTCCTGAGCTAGCTGAGGCTCTGCTGGTGGGGGCTACTGCTGTGGCTCCTGCTAGGACTCCCCCTGATGCTGAGGCTCCTCAATAGCCAGTCGATGTCCTGCCATCATGACAGCCCCAGGTGGACCACCATGACGACGCTCAGCCTCCTCAACTGCTGCCCTCTGTGATGGTGTGAGCTGTGGATCTACAATGACAACACCACTATGAGCACCACCTCTCTCGGCACGCTCTGCTGCCTCAGCGACTGCTGCTGCTCTCGCAGTCTCAGCATCTGGATACTTGCGCTTCTTGGATGCAATCTTCTTCGTCGCCTTGCCTTTTGGATCTGTGGGCAGGCGAGGCGGGGGCCTCTGATCATCATCCCCTGGACCACCTTCGATGTTCTTGGTGCGAGCCATCTGATCTGACAAGAAGATGAACTGTCGCTGACAAGATCAACTGCCACTGACACTTTCGAGGCTTGGCCTCGATCCGTACTCGCAAACTTGGCTCTGAGTTGACTGACAACTGCCACACGATCTCAACGGCACCGACTCGCTGCACGATGGAATAGATAGATATACAAATAAATACGATATTTCTAATAGATGCGAAAACCTATTAGAGCAAGCAATGTAGGTACGAAATTGAAGCGACTGGCTTGCTACCTGACGATCGGCGATCCGAGAAAAGACGAGATGTCACGTGGGGAACCTCAGAATCGGGTTAGGGTTAGGGTTGAATGGTGAATCGGCGACCCTAGAAGCAATTGAAAACAAAGCTTTGAAATTGATCTAGGTTGCTGGCAAAGTTCAGTCGATGCTAGGGCACGGCCTTACCGGTGAAGCTAGGGCACGGTGGAGCAGGGCGGTGGAACTTGGCGTGGTGGCTCTATGGCGCAAGAAACCAGTGAGGTGGACTGGTAGGCACGGCGGCGCTGGCGCGGAGGAGGTGATCGGGCGCGACGGTGGCGATACGTGGGAACATGGGCGGCGCGTGGGCACGGGAGTAAAAACGCGGGACTGCGGCGGCAGTAAGGCTGGCGGCGTGCGGAGTCACGTGGGAACAACACGGCAGCACGGCGTCTCGGCGCAATGCGGTGCCGTGCGGTGGCTGGGGCAGACAGCGGCTAGGGTTAGGCGAGGAAACAGGTATGGCCGAATCGATTATAAGGTACCCCGACGCGACAAAGAAGGAAACGGAAAAGGAGTCCTGAAGCCACGCGAGATCCACTGACCGGACGCTCCGGTGGTAGCGACCGGATGCTACCACCCAGCGTCAGGTCGATTCTAGAGTGGTCCAAATCCTCTGGAATCACGACCGGACACGTCCGGTGGTCCATGACCGGACGCAGGCAGGGTCCGGTCAAGTCATCCTTTGACTTCATTAATCGATCGGACGCTGAAGGTCCTCCTGACCGGACGCTGAAGCGTAGAGTCCGGTCACTCCTTCGGCTTGAGTTCACCTCCTATGAACTGACCAGACGCTGGACATCAGAGTCCGGTGTAGCGTCCGGTCACTCTTTTCCAGCAAATCTTCAATTATTCTCCGCGCTGCCTGTTCCTCTCGTGCGGTTCGTCCTTGTGCTCCAGATGCAGCACCTCCGAGGTATCCATACGTATAAGGAGGAAGCGTCACGCCTCGGGACTGCTAGGTCCATGAGGAGCAACAGGCGCGGGCGTGGGATGTGCGGTGGCTGCCCTAATAGCCTCACTCAGCCCCGTTGCCCACCCCATTTATTTATAGGCGTCCTTAATGAGCTACCGAGATGGAGGCCCATTAGTAACCCTAAGCCTTGTCTAACTCGGATCCAATCCAAATTAGGCTTCCAGCCCCTTAAGCGTGTGACCCTATGGGTTCACGCACACATAGACATGGCCTGAGTACTCTTACTCAGCCATTAGTTGATAGCGGCCTCTAGCAAGGCGTGCCAACTCCTATGCATACGCAAAGATCATATCAAACGAACCACCACAAAACCACATACATCTTATTCCCTTGCCTCACGATATTTGGTCCAACTCATAGGTTAACACTTAACCCAAGCACGGCCATGCATTTCTTGATCCAATCATTCGAGTGGTCCAGTGATATCTCTCTTATATGAAGAGGGGCAAATTCCATCTTGATTGACTATGTCTCATAGCATGTATCCCGACAAACCCGAAAACCACCTTTATAACTACCCAGTTATGGAATAGCGTTTGATAGTCCCTGAGTAGGTCGTTTGACATCTTGAATACATACGACAATCTCAGGTCTAAGGACATAACGTACATGATATGTATAGAGATAATTAGAACATCTCACGTTGGGTCAGTCCAGCCCCATGTCATACATGTGCCCACACTATTAGTTTGACATCTCTATGTCTATGACTTGTGAAACATAGTCATCAACTAATATATGTGCTAATCTAATATTCATGTGTATTCTCACACGAACTCTGATCAGGGACACCTTTAGAATAATCATACAAGTAAAAGAGTTTCACAAACAATTCTCATAATTGCCAATCGATACAAGTTGCCTTTAATGGATATTCATTGAACTCATAATAAATCTTGGATACAACGTAATATAATCATCTCTATGATTACCTCTAGGGCATATTCCCAACAATCTCCCACTTGCACTAGAGTTAATCTCGAAGATATCTAATACCCATAGCTCTCATGTGCGCCTCTTGCTTACGCTGTGGAAGAGCCTTTGTCAAAGGATCTGCAACATTCAAATCCGTGTGTATCTTGCACATTTTGATCTCACATCTTCTATTGAATTCTCGAATAAGGTGAAATTTCCACAGTACATGTTTATTCTTTTGGTGATTCCTTGGCTCCTTAGCCTGCACAATTGCCCCATTGTTGTCACAATGTAGATTCAATGGGTTGGACGCATTTGGAAACACACCAAGATCAATGAGAAACCTCCTCATCCAAACACCTTCCTTTGCAGATTCAGAAGCTGCGATGTACTCAACTTCTGTTGTAGAATTGGTCACCGCCTACTTGGAACTTTTCCAACTTACAGCACCACCATTTATTGTGAACACAAAACCTAATTGAGACTGTGAATCATCCGTGTCAGTTTGGAAGCTTGCATCGGTGTAACCATTTACAACGAGCTCCTCCTCACCTCCATAGATTAGGAACTCATCTTTAGTCCTTCTCAAGTACTTAAGAATATTTTTAACAAGTGTCAGTGACTCTCACCTGGATTAGCTTGGTACCTGCTCGCGACACTTAGAGCATATGATACATCTGGGCGAGTACATATCATGGCGTACATGATGGAACCAACCGCCGAGGCGTATGGAACCATACTCATGCGCTTTCGCTCTTCAGTTGTCGAAGGACATTGTTTCGTGCTAAAGTGCATACCATGTGACATAGGCAAGAACCCTTTCTTGGACTGTTCCATGTTGAACCATTTCAACATTTTGCCAATGTACGTATCTTGGCTTAATCCTATAAGCCTCTTCGATCTATCTCTATAGATCTTGATGCCCAAAATGTATGCTGCTTCTCCTAAATCCTTCATAGAAAAAGTATTATTCAGTGAAGTCTTCACGGATTGCAACATTGGAATATCATTCCCAATCAATAATATGTCATCCACATACAAGATCAGAAATACAACAGCGCTCCCACTTTCCTTCTTGTAAACACAAGGTTCTTCTTCATTCTGACGAAAGCCAAAACCTTTGACCACTTCATCAAAACGAATGTTCCAACTCCGAGATGCTTGCTTTAACCCATAAATGGATTTCTGAAGCTTGCAAATTTTTCTAGCATTGTTTGGATCTACAAAACCTTCGGGCTGTATCATATACACGTCCTCATCCAAATTTTCATTTAGAAAGGCTGTTTTAACATCCATCTGCCATATCTCATAATCGAAATAAGCAGCTATTGCTAGAATGATCCGGATAGATTTAAGCATCGCTACCGGTGAGAAAGTCTCGTCGTAGTCAATTCCTTGAACTTGCCAAAAACCCTTTGCTACAAGTCGAGCTTTATAGACGTGAACATTTCCATCCATATCCTTTTTCTTTTTATAGATCCATTTGCACTCTATGGGTCTAACCCCATCAGGCGGGTCAACCAAGTTCCAAACTTGATTGTTTCTCATGGAATCTATCTCGGATCTCATGGCACTTTGCCATTTCTCGGAATCTGGGTCCATCATTGCTTCCGCATAAGTCGTAGGTACGTCATCGTCTAACAATAACAAATCCCCACGCAACTCACGGATTCTTGCTGACCTTCGTGGTTGCGGCGGTGTTTCTATTGCCACGGGTATCTCAACTTGTTCTGCTACATTAGCATCACTCGTAGATTCCTTCCCAACTGGCTTATCTTGAACTTCTTCAAGATACACCTTCTGTCCACTTTTCTCTCTTTTAAGAAACTCTTTCTCTAAGAAAACACCGTTCCGAGCAACAAACACTTTGCCCTCTGATCGGTTGTAGAAGTAATACCCTAAAGTTTCCTTTGGATATCCCACGAAAAAGCATTTGTCCGACTTGGGTGTTAGTTTATCTGACATAAGTCGTTTGACATAAACTTCACGACCCCAAATTATCAGAAAAGACAAACTGGGACTCTTACCAGTCCACATCTCATGTGGTGTCTTAACTACGGACTTAGACGGTACCCTATTCAATGTGAAAGCGGTTGTTTCTAGAGCGTATCCCCAAAACGATAACGGTAGGTCTGACTAGCTCATCATAGACCGAACCATGTCTAACAAAGTCCGATTACATCGCTCGGACACGCCGTTTCTCTGAGGCGTTCCAGGTGGCGTAAGCTGTGGAACAATTCCGCAACTCTTTAGATGATTGCTAAACTCGTGGCTCAAATATTCGCCTCCACGATCAGATCGTAAAGCCTTAATTTTCTTGCCACGTTGATTCTCTACTTCACTCTGAAACTCCTTGAACTTTTCAAAAGTCTCAGACTTATGTTTCATTAAGTAGACATATCCATATCTACTAAAATCATCAGTGAAGGTTATGAAGTATTGGAATCCGCCTCTTGTTGTCGTACTCATTGGTCTGCACACATCAGTATGTATGAGTTCCAGCAAGTCTGCCGCCCTCTCAGGAAAACCTGTAAAAGGCGTCTTGGTCATCTTGCCCAGCAGGCAAGCCTCACATGTCTCGTATGATTTAAAATCAAACGAAGTTAAAAGCCCATCAGAATGGAGCCTCTTCATGCGATTCTCACTTATATGACCTAAACGACAATGCCACATATAGGTAGGACTTAACTCATTAAGCCGAGGCCTTTTAGCACTTATATTACAGACATGAGCATCATCAAGATTTAAAATAAATAACCCATTCACAATGGATGCAGGAGCCACAAACATACCATTTTTAGAGATCACACAACCATTGTCTTTACTCGCAAATGAATAACCATCCTTCATCAAACATGAAGGTGACACAATGTTTCAACTTAAACTAGGAACAAAATAACAATTATTCAACTCCATAATAAATCCTGATGGGGTTTGTAGTTGCATCGTCCCGATGTTCAACGCAGCAACTCTTGCATTATTGCCCACGCGGAAATCAAATTCTCCCTTTTCCACGCTTCTACTTCTTATCATTCCCTGCATCGTATTGCAAATATGAGCAACCGATCCGGTATCAAATACCCAAGAATTAATATAAGAATTAGCAAGGAAAATCTCCGTAACATAAACAACAAGTGTACAAGCTGCGGGAGTACCTTTACTGCCGCGATCCTTTATGGATTCCAGGTACAGCTTGCAGTTAATCTTCCAGTGACCTTTCCCATGACAATGAAAGCATTCAGCATCAGCAGCTGGTCCAGCCTTGGGCTCAGATGGGTTTGGCTTAGAGATCTCATCTTTAGCCTTGTCCTTTTTCTTCTTCCAAGAATTGCACTTCCTTTTAAATTTAGGCTTGTTTTGGACAGCCATCACATGGCTACTACTAGCACCTTTCTTTATATCAGCCTCTGTTGTTTTAAGCATGCCACATAATTCATTCAAGCCCTTCTCTGCCCCATGCATATGGTAGTTTGAGATGAAATTCCCGTAGCTGGGTGGAAGAGACGCGAGAATAAAATCAGTAGCCAACTCTTGGACAATTGGGAAGCCCAGCTTCTCCAACCTCTGAGTGTAACCAACCATTTTGATCACATGTGGCCCAACTGTTGCGCCCTCTGCTAGCTTGCTCTCTACAAAAGCCTTTGAGACACTGAACCTTTCAGTCCTGGCTTGAGTCTGGAACATATCATTGAGCGCCACGATCATATTGTACGCTGCATGATTATTGTCAAACTGCATCTGCAGATCTGGTTCCATACAAGCAAGCATAAGGCAACTTACTTCAAGATCAGCATCACATGCTTTCTTGTAAGCGGTTTTCTCTGCAGCAGGTGCATTATCAGCAGGCTCATCTGGTAATGGGCTGTCTAGAATATCTTCCTTTTTCTCAGTCCTGAGAACAATTCTCAGGTTGCGGATCCAATCCGCATAGTTTGTTCCATTCAACTTATCTTTCTCAATAATTGAACGTAAAGTAAATAGTTGGTTGCTAGGCGCCATTTATCTACAACAAAAGTAATGCAAAATACTATGACAATGTATCCAAGACAGAGTAAACAATATTAAACCTTTAATAGAATCTACTCCCACTAAAATCAATATCCCTCTATTGAAACTTAGTGATTCAAGACCCACAACTAACAAGTCTACTAGTGAGCTTTCGCATCACCGCTAGAAGACATGGTAGATCGGTAAGCAACTCTTTGCTAATCATATCACATATGACTCTTGTTGTTGGGTAGCATCTCTATGCTTTGGTGCCCAACTACTCATGCTCCAAGGTCCCTAACCGTTAGGATGACCTTGTCCAAGTAAGCAACCCTTCTGCTGTAAGTATCCGATACGAACCTGTCTAGTCAAGGAAAACCAGTGGCACCCTAATTTCATAGGCCCACCACCGATTGTACAAGACACATGACAGTGCAAGGTTTGGGGAGCATTATAACTTAAACATTGCCGAGGGATCGTTTTACTTCACTATCGCATGTAGACAAAAACATTATCGCACGTGAAAGTAGAACATAGTAAGAATGGCATTAACAGAGATATGACTTGGTATAGCCCATTGTTCCTTTGGGGATCTCCATCTCCATCGAACTATTCATCATGATGATCTTCATCTCCATGATCCATTTATACCATCCTTCAGTGATGAGTCCACCAAGACTAGCTATCACTAACGCAACGCAGTGAAGAAAATTACATAGTCGCGGATAGAACCATCACAGTTTGGCACGCAGGCCATTACATCAAATTAACAATATCTTTGTGGCTCCAGCCATATTGTCATACTCACGACATGCAAGCCATGAATTAATTACATACATGCATCACATACACATACAGGCTATACCAGTCATAAATTCCTGCAAAACAGAGTTAATCGATTCCGACGTCTAATCTTAAAATGCCGAAAACATCATCTTCCCGGCCGTTTTTTGCAAATCTAATTTCAGCGAAACGCCTTAGGCAGTCATCAACGGATGTAAAATTTTTTTCTCTACAATTTTCGTTTAGAGTTCGTCTCAATCCGAGGTCGTATGCAAAAGTTACGGCTGTTTTACCGAACAGCACTTTTTCTTGCACTCCGGCGCCCGGCAGTAGATCCAATCTATCACCGCTGCGCATCACATGCGCTCGGCACTTGACCTAGGTTCGATTCGATCAACAGAAGTGATCTCCATCTTGCCATGATTGGATTTACATGTATCACTTAACTTGGATGGCGGAATTCCGACCGGTACGAGTAGATCGTTACAAGACCAACACGGTAAAATCACGAACCATGATCAGAGACTCATCTACTACCGCGCATATCTTCATATGCACGCATCCGAACCTATAACAACGCAGTAACGGCTCTGATACCACTGTAGGGTTATGAGGATGCTACGCTAGCCGAAAAACAAAAATTCGACCTCATAAACCTGGATCTAGTACTAGTTATAGATCATGGGATTACCACTAGATGCGCAGGTGCAGCGGAAGCGACTCGATGTAGTCATATGCGTCGTAGCAGTGCCATGCAATTGCAAGGTCGTCCGTCCGTCCGTCCCTCTCGTGCGGTTCGTCCTTGTGCTCCAGATGCAGCACCTCCGAGGTATCCACACGTACAAGGAGGAAGCGTCACGCCTCGGGACTGCTAGGTCCATGAGGAACAACAGGCGCGGGCGTGGGATGTGCGGTGGTTGCCCTAATAGCCTCACTCAGCCCCGTTGCCCACCCCATTTATTTATAGGCGTCCCTAATGAGCTACCGAGATAGAGGCCCATTAGTAACCCTAAGCCTTGTCTAACTCGGATCCAATCCAAATTAGGCTTCTAGCCCCTTAAGCGTGCGACCCTATGGGTTCACGCACACATAGACATGGCCTGAGTACTCTTACTCAGCCATTAGTTGATAGCGGCCTCTAGCAAGGCGTGTCAACTCCTATGCATACGCAAAGATCATATCAAACGAACCACCACAAAACCACATACATCTTATTCCCTTGCCTCACGATATTTGGTCCAACTCATAGGTTAACACTTAACCCAAGCACGTCCATGCATTTCTTGATCCAATCATTCGAGTGGTCCAGTGATATCTCTCTTATATGAAGAGGGGCAAATTCCATCTTGATTGACTATGTCTCATAGCATGTATCCCGACAAACCCGAAAACCACCTTTATAACTACCCAGTTATGGAATAGCGTTTGATAGTCCCTGAGTAGGTCGTTTCACATCTTGAATACATATGACAATCTCAGGTCTAAGGACATAACGTACATGATATGTATAGAGATAATTAGAACATCTCACGTTGGGTCAGTCCAGCCCCATGTCATACATGTGCCCACACTATTAGTTTGACATCTCTATGTCTATGACTTGTGAAACATAGTCATCAACTAATATATGTGCTGATCTAATATTCATGTGTATTCTCACACGAACTCCGATCAGGGACAACTTTAGAATAACCATACAAGTAAAAGAGTTTCACAAACAATTCTCATAATTGCCAATCGATACAAGTTGCCTTTAATGGATATTCATTGAACTCATAATAAATCTTGGATACAACGTAATATAATCATCTCTATGATTACCTCTAGGGCATATTCCAAATACCTCTAGGAACAGTAGGGTGGTTGCGGCAAATGAAACATGTGCTCTACCAGATCTACTTTTAAAACATTCAAATGAAACACTTGCAACGTACATCTGAAACAGATGAAACACTTAAAACATACACTTGAAATATGCGTGTATAGTCATAGCAACATATGCAATATCAAGATCTACTTTTGCAACATCCAGATAAAACACTTGCAACATGAGTCTGAAACATGTGAAACGCTTGAAACATACATATAGAGTCATAGTAACATATGGAGCATCCGATGAAACACTTGAAATATACGTCTGAAACACCTGAAACACTTAAAACAAGGAAGTGTAACATATGCAACTGTCGATGCGGGACTCATGGGATACCCCGCAAGGAAGAGAGAAGATCTAGTTTGACTAGGATTCCTCCCATGTAATCCTAGTAGTAGTACTACCCTGTAATCCTACTAGGACTCTACATTGTAAACCGACTAGGACTCTTGCCTCCTGGACTATATAAAGGAGGGCAGGGCTCTCTAGATCGGTAGGTCGAAGTGGAAGTTAAGTCTAAGCAAGAAAAGTAAGCTAGGAAGTAGCGAGGTCTAAGGACAATTGTACACAGTATACCAATCAATCCAACGCAAAGGCTAACGCCGACTGGACGTAGGGCTATTACTCGATCACATCGAACCAGGATAAATCAACTGTCTCTTGTGTTAACCACCAAGTTCTGCATACGCCGAAGCCCGAACAACTACCTCGGGTACCCCCGTGGCAGGCTATCGGTGGTAAAATATCGACATCAACATCCAAGATCTATTTGCAACATTTCGATGGAACACTTGAAACATAAGTATGAAACGCCTGAAATACTTGAAACATAGCATCGCTGGCGGCCACAACCTTCCTGGCGGGGAACTCAAGTAGCCAACAAGCTCGGGTTCGGGAGACGTCGAGAGCAACGGTCCAGCGTACACCCTAGGCGTAGCGCATAGGCCACCCCTTCCTACCGATGGGCGCGCTGGGTGGGGACGCAGGTGCAGGCCTCCCCTGCCTCTCTTTCTACAATGGGGAGAATTGGACGAGGGCATGGCGCGGAGCAGCGCGGGATGTTTGGCCAGGCACGGCGGCGGAGAGGAAGGCGGGCGGGAGGCGCGGCGAAGCACGGTCGCGGTGTTGTGGCAATTTTTTTTCTTTTTAAGAAATTGCGGTGCCTGAAACGGAGCGGATAAGAGAGCCTCGTGGGCATCACAGCTCACCAATGGAGCCGTTCGGATGGACGTCAGTCCTCGACAGAGCATTACCAAGGAAACAAAACTGAGATTTGGGTGAAAGTCTTCTCTCTCATACTCTAACTTTAGTTACTAGTGTCAAATTATACTAGATTTACAGTCGACTTGTACTAATAATATCGGTGCAACTTCTAGATAAAATTGGTGTAACTAAAAAAATTGAATATAGGAGGAATATTTCACCTGATTCCTACCACACCTTTTAATTTGGGTGTGGAAGTCCCTCCTATGGACTAGAATTTTCTCTTATAACGTGCTCATGAAATTTGAGTGTACCTCATTCTTTTTCCACTATATTTTTAAAGGAAAAAATTGGGTCTGCCTCAATTTGAGTAAGACCGAAAATGTAAAACAATGGGTTGGGTTTTCTACTTGTGGGCTGTCAATCCCAATTCTAACCCAATCGAAAATACGTAGTCCTCAATCCTTTTTGTGGGCTCAAGCTACCGAACCAAAGAATGAGCTACCGAACCAAAGAATGGGCTTCCGATTTGTGGTTGACATAACCTAGAATTCACAGCTTATGGTACAGAAACACAAAGGAAGAAGAGAAGAGAGGAAGAACCGAAGAAGATCACATTGAAGGTTGACATGTAGGGCCTACTACTTCTATAAAACGGTCCCTCACGATAGTAAAACAAACGATTTTGAAATTATGGGTGCAAAACCTGAAGAAGGAAAGACGGACTCGGGTTAGTACCTTTTCCTGCTATATTCTACCGAAAGTGACGTTGATGTGGTAGATATTATTCTTTGTTGAATTGAAATGTGAAAAAAAATGATAGATGGACCAAAAATCATACTCTGCTAAAATTGACATCTTCTTGATATGACAGGTATTATTTCTTTGCTGAGATGTGAAAAAAGTGACTTATGGTTAGCTGATAGGATGGACTCATCATTTGCTTATACATCACCCTTCGTTAAGTCTACCTGGTTAGGTATATACTATCGGCTTACAGCTCTGCCAATTAAGTCCGGAACTCCGAAGCAGAGGGCCGGGTGAACTGAACCTCGAAATCAGTTATTACTTTTGTTTTTTCGAGAGTATTTCATTAAGCAGGAAAGGAGTTTGTTACAAAGGTTTGGGGTGTGGTAAACCGTAGATTACCAAA